CCTCCCACCCTCATTCGTATTAAAATAGTCTCGCTAGGAAAGCGTGCGTTGCGCCCTGCATATCTTAAAACCCAGGGGTTGCCCGGAGGGACCCAAGATCCACCACCCCTACGGCGCCTTTACATCCAGTTCTGATTTTTCTCGCGATTCATATTGCCGAGGACTCGCGCGAGGCTCGGATTACCGTCCCGGAGAATCGTTGCGTTTCGTCCCCTTTTAAATTTCACCGATATTGCTCCACGACCACTGGAAAATATTCCTTTCGACCCTTATTCGCTCTCTGCTAAAGCGGCGATTTTGTCACAGTCGCGATGGAAAATATTCTTTGGCGAGAGAAGAGTTATTACGAAACAGTTGACACGTTTCTGAAAAGAGTCTAGCGAGATAAAGATAGGCAATCGACCCGCAATTTTCATTGCTATTATAAGCCGTGCAATGCTTTTGACCTAAAACCTAATCGTACAAAGTTTCAGACCGTTACCTCCTTGTTTAAGGGTAATACGAGGGCAAACATCCTTAGATTTATTATTTTCTTCTCGGTTACTATTTCAGATATTTAAATTCTGCAAAACGAAAATATTCGTACTTATAAACTACATCTCATATATCTTTTCAGGGTATTGTTTTAATTATTAAGGGTGGAAAATAAATAATTTATTGTTTATTTTCCCTGTGAGTACCTACCAAAATAGTCAGGAATGATTATCGGTTATTCACCTGACACATGTAAAAGTTTCAGAACGATCGGAGTCCAGGAACATGGTTAAATAATTAAAAAGAAACAAAAATCCCATGCGTTACGCCCCGTGCGATGAGCTGAAGGAGAACGAGACAGTGTATATCAGACACACTACGCGTATCGTTACAGCTATGCATACGACAGGGTGGCAATCAGTTTCGACGATTTTATAATTGATATCATAAAATTTTCCTTAAAAATATTCTGTTTATTATTTCTTAAACGATACCTAGACATTGTTTACAAACACGCGTCGCTCGATGGATCGTAACTTAGTTGTAAATAATTAAAAAGAAACAAAAAGTCCCATGCGTTGCGCTCCGTGCAGTGAGCTGAAGAAGAATGAGACAACGTATGTCAGACACACGTATCGTTACAGCTATATAAAGTCCTGCCAGCCATTTCTGGGTGACGTGGCGATCAACGTGCTAAAAAACACGATGCATCTATCTATCTGTATCCCTAGATTCCCTTTGAGGAAAATTCTGTAATTTCCACGGGAAAACATTTTTTCCGAAACAACCGATTCGATTACTTCGCTAACCTGCCTATTCGATGTTTAATGGAGAACGGGATCGAACGAGCGCCAGGTAATATTTGCACGTGCACAATCGGCATGAGTCTTCTCGATATCATCGTACCAGGGATCATTCGCGAGGCAAAAAACGAGCCGAAACTGTTGACGTCAGTGTTTCCACAAGCACAGTCGTCGGCTCGATGATCTCATGGCCTGTGTATACCAGCCGACTATCTATATACCTTTCCTACTATATGCCTATAGTCGTCGGGTCTGCGCAGCGCCTTTTTCGCGTGTGTTCCAATGCACGTAAGCGTGCGTATTGTGGAATCGCGGGACAACTCGTAGTCGACACGTGTGCGTTTGTCAGCTTCTTAGAAAGCCGCGAATAGGCGTTCGTTGCATGCATAATTTCCCGTACACGAGCACTCGATTCACGGGCGAATTAGCGCTAGTTACGTCGAGAAAGTTAACGATTCTTTTCTTTTTACGTGCGAGCTCGTTATTTCGTGGTAGGTTTAATAAATGTTTGTTTAATAAATTGGTGTATTCGAAGGTAGGCTTGACGCAAAATATTTGTGTGTAATAAATAGACTGCGGATCTTTATGCAAAATAAAATCTTCGCGATTTGTGTATACAAAAATTGAACCTAAATAGGAATTTATTTTATTCTGCAAATATTATAACGTGAACTTTCAATCGTTTTTATATTCTTGCATATTGTTTGCATTTTGTAGGTTCTTGGGCATTCTCTTCTCTAATAACTCTTCCTGAGTAATAGCAGGTCGGCGAATACAATTACCGGTAGAATTGAATTAAAATTAATTGGGGAAATTCGGGAAGAGTAATTCTGATCTCTGATAGATGAAACTTTTAAATAATGAAAGGTAAGAATTTTTGAAGCGTTCTTTGTTGAAGAAATTGTAGGTACTTTGCATTGAACGAATAAAATTGCATTCAAGTCAAAGGGAAAAATTGAAAAAAGGCCAAATCCTTGCGTAAATGAAATTTTCTAGAAATGACAGATAAATAACATTTGATGTGTTCTTTATCGAAGAAATTGTAGGTACTTTGCATTGAACGAATAAAATTGCATTCAAGTCAAAGGGAAAAATTGAAAAAAGGCCAAATCCTTGCGTAAATGAAACTTTCAAGAAATGATAGATAAATAACATTTGATGTGCTCCTTGCTTAAATCCTTGCGTAAATGAAACATTCAACATTTGGCGTGTCTTATACCGAATAAAAATCACCATTTCTAAACATAAACTAAAATTAACATTCCATAACGCCCAAACAGAAATCGAATAACCCGAACCATTTTCTACCATTTCAAACCCAGCCTACACCAACCAACAATTCAATGACTCTATCACAGTGCATATCCGTGCACCGCGATGTATCTTCAATGAATACAGTTTCTTCCGCGATTATCCTTTCTCTTTTCCTTTCTTTCTCTTTCCAAAGCGTCATTCCGTTAACTGACTGAAGTCCCCGACATATCGACAGAGTGTTTTACATACCGACACACTCGTAGCGGCGGTAAAATATTTTCGAGGGCAAAGTTTGCAACTGCGGATAGAAAATAAATTACACGTATCGTTGATCGCGGTCGTAACGGGCAGCTTTAAACAGCCCATACGTTGCGTGCAACGATACGTGTGTATTTCTCGCGCGGTATTGGCCGGCGTACTGACACGCCGAGACGAAACGATTTCAATAAACAAGCTTGATACACACGTACATACGTGCGAAGTGGCACGAATGGTTTTTTCCTAGAGCCGGCTACGTGCGTGGGCGGCATCGACTTTGCTTCCCTATCGCACGTAAAAGCCAAGATAAACATTATTTATTTTTTTTTTTTTCTATCGTTACCTCTCTCTTTCTCTATTTCTCTGTGCTCTCCTGTGTGTATAGGTGTGTAAACGTTGCATCGCGCGAATAAACGACGGTGAATGAAGACATTGTATCGTAATAAGGAGAACGACGTTACGGATACCGATCCGAGAAAAAATTCAATTCCGCGCGATATAGACTCGAACGCGGATGTTGCGCGGTTACGATATCCGCGCGTAAATTCACAGGTAACGTACGACGATCAGCGGTTGCGTTAAACGTCTTGGAAATCGCGTGTTGCCGTTTCGCCCCGTTGTTTCCTATCGCGCGTAATTTAGATCGCGCGTCACTCATCGTTTATTTAACCGTGGCCAGCGCGCGCATTACCTGCGTTACAATGCAACGTTTTGCGTCACACGGCTCTCGATATACGCTGGAAACGCGCGCGTTCCGTGAAATAATGATACATCGAGGGTGGCTTCGAGAACAAATAAAGAGCGAAATCAAAGCTTATCAGGAAATGGTGGTGGAGGTGTTAAAGTTATCCCGAAATTGACTGTATTGTACCATTTACCTTTTCGAGGTAAAGAGATGTTCCTATTTAACTGGAGGAAATAATTCATTCGTTTGGATAAGGAAATTCTAAGCTAGAACGTATATACTCATACTAATAGTCTTGTTCCAAGAAATAATATTTCTGCATATCAATTGGATTTATAATTACTAATTACATATACTATAATAGATGAATTAGAAGAAATAATTTATTCATTTGGCAAAACAAATTCTAAGCTATAAAGTATGTACTAATACTAATATTCTTGTTCCAAGAAATAATATTGGATTTATAATTAACAATTGCACATACTAGATCAATGAACTGTTCTGTTAGATCCCCCAATAACGTTTGGTATACCAAGGTCCACAAGATATTCAAACTCTCAAGGCAAATATTCATCAGGCACTCGACAGTAATAAATTGCGCCATACACGAACGTCACGTAAATACGAAAGTTACTCTGCCATCTTCATAAGGACTATATTCTTATATACACATCGACTCCGTGTCTTCAACACGGCGTCATTGAACTCCGCAGTGTTAATTGCGAATAACTCTTAAACAAAACACCCCGAACGAGAGAAAGAGAGAAGAAGGGATCGAAAAAAGAACTTGTCCCTAGCGCAAAGTTTTCCCTGAACCGTAGGACACGTTTCGCTCGTTAAGGGTCCGGGACGGATAAGTAACGGCGGCGCCTGGCGTCAGGCGGAGTGGTCGCTGAAGAGAGAGCGGTGGGGTTGGAATTAAATAAAAATAAAACGCGAGATAATAACGTTAGCGAAGGAACCGAGAGCCCAAGACAAATAGCCGAGGGAAAACAAAGCGTATTATAAATACCGGGTGACAGGACGAGTTGGTGGCGGGAGAGAGCGGCCGGGAGGCAGCTAGAGGGTGGTTTTCAACGGGGCGAGCCAGAAGAAGGAAGGGTAGGTCGGTGGTTGGCGACGACGACGACGACGACGACGACGTAGTAGCCGTGTCGACTCCTGAGAGAAAATGCTCCGAGGAAGCAATGCCCCCAGCATTTTTGCTACCTGCGGACACAATGAGTGGCCGGATTTCTTTTTCCGCGGTCGTTACTCACCCTCCGCGGAGGGATAGTATTCTTATCCAGGCTGGAATTACAAATTTCAGACACCGAGCCCTTGTGTCGGACAGGATTCTGACTGCGCGTTATATTCAACCCTATTTCTCTCTTTCTCTCTCTCCCGGCGTTGCTGAAGCCAAAGTGGCTTTGCTTCGCGCGTTCCTTTGCAATTGTTCCCAACCTCTTTTTCGTTTTCTTCATTTATTTTTCTCGTGCACGGACAGAGAAACGCAACGTGATGTACTTTTAACGAGTACTCACACTGGGACGAGCGTGGCCGCGCGGATTCAGCTGCCAAGGAACCGCTGATGGCTGGAACTGCTCCTTTCCCCACGAACCGTTGTCGAACGGATTCTCACCGATGTGTCCCTGAAACGATAAGACACCGTTAATACGTTGCAATGTAGGTATGATTCATGATTGATACAGTGGAATATTCATGGAGTCATTCGAAAAAATGTCGTCCTGTGAGAGCTACTTTATTTAAGAAATCGAAGTAAAAATTGTTTTTAAAATAAATTAGCAAAATGTAGGTGTGATTCATGATTGATACAATGGAATATTCATGGAGTCATTCGAAAAAGTATCGTCGTGCATGAGCTACTTTATTTAAGAAATCAAGATAAATATTATTTTTAACCAACTTCGAAAAGGAGAAGGTTACTCAATTCGACATGTATATATATATAAATCTGATTAGGATTCATGAATTTCTATAACGTTATAAAAATAAATACTACGATAAACGTTAGATTATGTAGGCATCAATTGTCTCAAAACAAAATTTGATTCTCATAGAAATGTTCATAAATATTCATGTGGCCATCAACGTGTTAAATGATGTAATAGTGCTTTAAAATATATATATATATAATTTATATATTATATATATTTTAATGTTTGTTCACCGACTACGCCGAGATGGCATTTTTTAAAAAATAAATTAGTAAAATAGGAGTACTTATTATTCAGTATTTGTATACCAAGCACCATTAAATCGTTTAACACGTTGTTGGCCACATGAATATTTATAAACATTTCTATGAGAATCAAATTTTGTTTTGAGACAATTGATGCCTACATAATCCAACGTTTATCGTAGTATTCATTTTTATAACGTTAAAGAAATTCATGAATCCTAATCAGATTCATTGTCTGTATTTATGTATAGTCCGTATTTCTTAGTATTAGTCTGTATTAGTAGAAAACGCTCAATGAAAAATAAAATTCCTATTGCCGCAAGTTACTCGAAACAGTTTCCTTAAAGAGAACCTTGTTTCAACAAAAATACAATAAATTATATCAATAAACGAAGAAAGAATCCAAAATAGTAGAAATTACTACACCTTACCAATTATCGAAAAGGAGTCGCAACCCCTGCCTGTACTCGCGGCACTCGGTTTCTTTAAAAACGAAAGCTCAGCGACTCGTTAACGCCGAAGGAAACTTTGCTAGCGAACGTTCCGCGAGAAAATATTTATTCCTCCTGCAGTGTTTTCGCCGAGCGAGTAAGGGAAGCCAGTTGCAAAGAAAAGAGTCATCGATCTTTGGAACTCCGCGGTGTAAAACTTTTTTCGATGCTGCGTGGGGCTTATTTTCGTAATATATTCCGCGGGCCACGGGTTGCCCATCCTTCCCCCCTCCCCGAACCCTCTCGAACGCCACTCTTTCTCGACTTCGCACCCCGTAAGCCTTATTTTTCTTTTACCTTTATTCCTAACCTAGAATCTTCCGACGGCAAGGTGGCACGCGCATAAATCACCCGGTATAATGAGAACACTTCGTCTTCGGGCGGCTCGCCCTCTCGGTTTCGAGACGCATCCCTTACGGGCCGACTATTATATCATTCTTTACCTTCGCCTTGGATTTCTGCTTGCCGCGATTATATTAATATTCGTTTGCACGAATACGGAATCTAAAGATCGCGCCCTCTTTTCGATACGGTCAATCGTTGTGGGGGTGGTTATTCTTTATCGCCCCGAGAAGCGGAGTTAGGGGTGGGAACGGGAGGTGCACGCTTTGCTTGTTAACTCCCGGAGTGTCGGAGTACGTTATCAGAAGGTGTTCGATTTATTTCGATTGATATACTGAATAAAAATAATAAATGTATTGGAATTAGTAAGATACGGAAATATTAGGTCATCCTATATATTCGTGCTGCAGACTGCGTCAATAATAAGAAAGACTACGGAAATTTTATAGTGACGGTATAATAGCTACGGCAGAAAAGTGGGGAAATATTGTAAAATAAGATACTATGTTTCGTATATTAATTAGAATACCTGAAGAATAATTATTCGTGAATTATTCCAAATTTTATGGGATATGTAATAAATTTGTGTATAATAGAATTCCGAGCCAAATAAATATAGATAAAAATGTGACGTACTAATGTTGGTATAAATAAATAATCTGGTCGTCACAGTCTAGATCTTACAATTAAGATACCAGTAAATCGGATTATAAGTCTTGCATGGAGCGCAGTGTACATTAATATTCGTTTGCACGACTCGAACACCTGCTTCAATATTTACGAATAAAGCTACTATTTCAGTTTCATAAGATTCGTTCGAAAATAATCATAGAATTCCTAGAAATTCACCTTGGTTATCGTGGCCTTTCGAGAACCAGCTAAAAAGGCATAAATTCATCTGTCGATTATGCAAGGAATACGCTAGCACATACACCCATATTAAAAATGGTTTCGAGACACCTATGCAATAAGAAAAGCTTGTACAAATATGTGCCTCGCTGGAGCCTCTCTTCAAGTCATAATAATTTTTTACTAATAATTACGCCAATAATTGCGAATCACCAAACTGAAGATTTTATGCATTTCTGCATGCATGTATTTCATAAAATTCTCAATCCGAGTTATTATTATTAATTCCACTGCGTTGTTTGTTTCTATTGTTGGCAAACTTCTTGTTTTCCTTAATGCGAGATTGACAGGTCAATTTTATATCAATTTCTCGAGTAATCGATTACATGAATTATCGAAGAAGCCAGCGTATTCGTTGCACGTGATGTATGCATGACGTTGCATCGTTCCGTTTCAGTCCCGGTAGCCAGACAGTTCTCGAACGAGCGATTTTACAACAGATGGATAGGTCTTGGAGGGCCTGTTAATATTTGGTCTGCTCGTTCGCCAACTCTAAATCCGCCACGTTTTTATTTTCGGAGCCGGTGAAAAATATTTATTTATTCAGTAGCCATCGCCAGTATTGAAATACATCGATAATGTATCCGAGGAGACCGCCAACGTCTGACAAAACAACTGAACTATCTTCAAAGATTGAGACATTTTGTAGTGGAATGTCTGAGGGACGTTATTTTTATTCTTTCAATGTACGAATTTGCTTTAATATCGTACATATTTTAATCCCAACAAGTATTGTAATTGTAAACAACAAATGATTAAAATTGCCTGTATAACTCGAGGCTCAAGCAAGATAGATTAAATCTCTAGAGTTCTAGCCAAATACCATGAGAACTATTAATATTATTATAAATATACTACTCTTATACTTAGAATTCATTCCTCCATCGAGTCTTCTTAAATTACTAACAATTCAGCTAAGAAAAAAAGGAATTTACCTCCGCTATCACTCTAACAGCTCCACCACGGCTGACAACCTAATAATTCGTTCGGAGTACTTCTAACGATTACCAAAAGTAAACGAATTGCTCAAATGGCCGTCCCAGCTCAGCTTGTATATACAGGAAAGTCGGCCTCGAGCGATAATGCAGCTGTGCCGATTTAATCAAATCACCCCGTCGCGGTATAATTAGCCGAATTTCTATCCTCGACTTATTGCGCAACCTTCGGAATCGCTGTCTCGAACTTGCTCCAGCTCTGCAAGTTTCTGCGTGGGTGAACCGTGCACCCCCGGGCCGACGAAGGAAAGGGACAAGGGGAACCTCGAAGGCTAACCAAATTTAGATTATAATTAGTAGTAAACCGCGAGCCGAACCGGCCCGCGGTAGATAGATGCGTAAACCGTAAATAGGAATGCAACTCGTTGCAAATTTAAGTCGGCGGAACGGATTAAGATCTATCGAGCAATTAGAGCGGTGAGTCATGGATTCCTGCATAATCGACGCGAGATCGAGGAAACTAATAATCGTTTCCCGAGAATTACCAATGTTACGCATCGCTACTGTTACGCGGATCGATATGACGTTAATCGTTTACTGCCACCGTTCACTTCGAAAGTCATTCGTTACAAATCGTTGGACGATGCTAATGGTAACAGTAATTTTACTTCACGTGACGCATGTTTCTAGGTATGTGTTATTCTAGTGGAGATCTCAGCTCACTCATTTGTAGATCATTTACAGAGCGATCTCTTTGTGGAGCTCGATGGAAAAAGAAGGCAGTAGTCACTTTGTTCTGTGGTGAAAGTAAGCGAATCAGTCAGGTCTCCTGTCTTGTGCGATTCATTTTGGAGATGTGTATGCATTGTACTTTATCGTTCTAAGATCAAATAATACGAATTTTGGCGATTTTACGTACACCACCTACTAATCAATTAAATTACCAGTTAGAACAATTGCAATCTAGTGCAAAGTTTCCCGAAGAACTTATTTTTCCCAGAAGATACAGTGGCATACTTTGTTAATTACTCACTGCCGCCATTCACATGATAAGTCATTCATTACAGACTACTGTACAATAGTAATACCAACAGTAATTTTATTTAGCATGACGCATGGTATCAATTACGCGCAAACGGAATGTATTGACTTTAGCCTACCTTCTTTCATTTAACAAGTTCAATAAACAAGCGTCACTCAGCAAGTAAAATGCAGTAAATATTACTATCAATTTTGGGATCCAAACTATGCAATTCAGCCTTTTGCCAACTAATTAAATTACCAGACAGAATAATTACAATTCAGCAGAGATGAGCAAACCCGTAGGCTTCGAATAAATCTGAAGCTTGTCTCGTTTCTTTCTCTGGAAAATGTTCAAAAGAGGAAACGAGACAAACGTATCGGCAAACTTCAGATTTATTCGAAACCTAGGGTTTTGCCCATCACTGCAATTCGGTACCAAATTTTTCCCGAAGGTAAGATATTCCTGTTAATTTTTCATCGCCACTCCCTGCCGTTGAAATTCTGGGCGCGTCCCAGTGATTATACGCGTCGTCCGGTTATCGAACGCGTTAATAACAGTCACAACTATTTTCTTACCCGGGATGAGGGTCGAGGCGTGTGAAGCGCAACGATCGATGATGTCCCTCGGTCTCGCTCTATTCCTTCGGCTAAAAAGCGTGTTTCATTGGCGCGGCGGTGTAAGGCAGAAATAAACAGTGGCGGCGGAAAATAATGAACCGGATAGCATATATAAATACGCGGAGGCTATT